CGATTATTGTCACGGTAGATGTTCGACAACAATTTACAAATGATCAAAATTTTATTGCTCGTCAACATATGCTAGAATGGGTCCGAATTAAAGCTAGCAAACTCGGGTTTGGCATTGTGATTGGAAGGTCCGAAAATAGAACTAGTAGAAGGCAAGTATTTGTAACGATGACATGCGAGAGAAGTAAAAAATATGTTGCGAAAATTGAGAACTTAAAACATGAAGACACTAGATCGAGAAATGTGATTGTCCGTTTAAATTGCGCAGATACTATAGGATGGATGATTTGTGGCGGTTTAATGTCATATGTGGTTTACATAATCATGAATTGGATACGAAGCTACAAGGTCATCTAATTGTATATCGACTTAAGCTGGAGGAGAAGGAAATTATTTCGGAAATGTTGATGATCAAAGTTGTACTGAGAAACATACTTGCTGATTTGAAACGGAAAAGACCACAAAGGATTTCAAATATCAGGCAGGTATACAATGAACGTTATCAACAGAACACGGTGAATAGAGGTTCGAGATCTGAAGTGCAACAACTTTTGAAACTTTTAAATGATAACCACTATGTTTCAAGGTACAGAGTGTGTGAGGATAAAGTCAGTGTTCGTGACATATTTTGGACTCATCCAGAAAGTATCAAGTTGTTCACTGCATTTCCAACCGTCCTTATAATTGATTCAACGTACAAGACCAACAAATATAGGCTTCCGCTTCTACAAATGGTTGGTGTCACTTATATGGAGAGGAAATTTTCGGTTGGATTTGCATTTCTGGAATCTGAGAAAGAAGACAACGTAACATGGGCGTTGGATATATGCAAGTCTTTATTGAAGGATCCACAAAATATGCCTAGTGTCATTGTAACCGACCGACATAACGCCCTTATGAATGCGGTTGGAAGTGTGTTTCCTACTTCATACGTATTACTTTGTCGGTATCACATAACAAAAAATGTGAGAGCTAAGCTAAAACTCGCGGTTGGCAACAAAGAAATCAAATGATAAAGATGGAGTCATGGTTAAATCTAGTGTGGTGGTGGAGAAGATAATGGATGCATGGACGAATATATTAAATTCTTCTACAGAAGAGTTGTATGTTGAGAATGTGGTACATTTCAGAAGCTTGTGTGTGAAATATTCTGTTTTTTTGAAATAAGTTGAATCTACTATTCTTGATCAGGTGAAAGAGAAAGTTGTGTATGCTTGAACGGACCGGATTAGACATTTGGGAAACACAACAACTAATAGATTTGAATTTGCGCATTTGATATTGAAGACATGGTTGGGTAATAGCAAGAGAGATCTTTGTAGAGAATGAGACATTATGAACTAAATGCTCCAAAAGCAACATAATGAAATTCAAACAACTTTTGGTCGGAGCATAATCGTGGTAGAGCAACGATTCAAAGACAACACTCTGTACTCGCATTTGGTTCTCAACATTTCCCAGACAACATTGAATTTCATTTTTCATGAAGCTAAGCGAGCGGAGACAACAAGGCCGAATAGTTCGAAGTGTGAATGTACAATTAGAAAAACTTACGGGCTTCCATGCGCTTGTCCCATTTCTAAAAAAATGAATCTAAATTCCTCCATACATATGGACGAAGTCTACGATCATTGGAAAATACTCTGGTTTGATGACTACGGTGTGACGAAGGACGGTACATCCAGTATAACCATTGCAACCGAGTTGAAAGTGGTCATGGATAGATTTTCTAATGCAGATGATACTATGAGACTGCACATAAAAGAACGACCGAGGAAAATCGCCTATCCAGAAACCACTGATTTGAAAACTCCTTCGGAACCGATAAAAATCAAAGGTGCCCCAAAAAAGGGGAAAATTACACAAGAAGACAATTCAACGAAGCAGACTATGTCTTACCATGAAGTTGTTGATTCAATATTCCCGGATTCTCCAAAATCGCAAATAATTGTTTTCAAGGGAGCTCGCATCTCCAAACCATCTTGTACACCCTCTATTAAAAAACAACCACATACACCTCAGATTAAAAAACCACCACTTCCACCTCTGATTATCTACATTGATGAGATGTCGCTTTTTATGCACAAACACATTGAAAGAATCATAGATGTGGGGAGTGATGGTAATTGCGGGTTTCGGGCCGTGTCTGATTTACTTGGTAAAGGAGAGGAGAATCACACTCGTGTGCGCCAAACACTTATTTCGGAGTTGACGACGCATAGGGAACTTTGAAAACAACTATATGTGACTAAGGAAGCATTCAATAAAGTTCACAATGCTCTTGTTCCAAGTGTTAGCGTTCGTGCACCTGTTGAAAAATAGATGAGCTTCCTTGAAATAGGTAATCTTATAACAAGTGCAATATGAGATGGTGTGTATAGATTTGACGAGATATAGTTTTTAGGAAACATTTTTTCCACTTCGGAGTCCTCCACCTCAAGACCCATCTGACCGCATCATTTGTATTGGGTACCTTAGATCACGCCATTTTGTTCAGGTTTATTTGAAACCGGGGTGTCCTATTTCGACTACATCAGTTGAGTGGATGACACATTCTGCAAAAGAGGTAGAAACTTGGTCGGATCACTTTTTTGAAAAGGATGGAAGAGTTCACCAGATTGATGGAGCTTGAGAGAGAATCAAATAGGAAGAAGTCGAAGAAAGAACCGATTTTAGATTTAAGCGGTGACAATTTGTTCGGTGCATTTTAGAATGTAATCGAACTATTTTTTTAATGTATTGTCGTGCACGATGTAAAATATATATGATTCAATACATATATAATATGTCTATTCAACATTTTATCGATGTTTACTTTTACTGATTAAATTTTTTCCACGTTTCTATGGTACTAGTTCAGATAAAGTTGATTCTACCACTGGTTCTGCATCTGAAATAATCTGTCTCCTTTTTAAAAAAAAAAGAACATAGGTTATTTCGGATATTCATAACCGAACGAACCTTCAATTTTAAAAATACAAAATAAGGGTTATTTCAGATATACCTATCCGAAACCCCCATAATTATGTTAAAAAGGTTAATTCAGATGTTTATATCTGAAATATGCACTGGTGACATGATAAGAATTCTTGGGTCTAAATTGCTCCATCTCTTCTATAAATAGGTTCTCTAAACTATTTCTTCAACATCACAAACCACAAACAGAGATGAGTCAAACATATTATCACCTTGCTTTTGTCCATTTCAATGGTAACATGTCGCCACTATAGTTTCGGGTCTTCGAGGACACGCCTTTCGTTGGCCTGATTACCACACTGAATTCTCTCTTGCAATATCTGAAAACTCGAAAGGTGGTCAAGATCAAGTATCGTTCACCCTCACTTGACACTGAAGGTAAGATAAAGTTCATCAAATTTGAGCTGAAGACGGATAACGATTTAAAGGTCATGTGGAGTACTTTTCAACGATACTCTACTAAACGTTCGATTGAAGTGGATGGAAAGCTTCAAAGATCGAGAAAAGATGTTATCAAAATGTTGTGACGTCCTCAGCTACCCGTTTATAACAATATGTAATGTTAAATTTGTGTTCAATTATCTATGTAATTTCGACTATTTATGTTAAATCTATGTTAAGTTGATTTGGTTTCAAGGTATTTAATTCATTCATTGCTTTTGCATATTTCAGATATGCATATCCGAAATAAAATGTGGTGTCTTCGGATATGCATATCTGAAACTATTTGATAAAAAATTAAAATATGGTAAATTCAGATATGCATATCTAAATTCTGAGGGTATTATGAAAATTTCGTCAATGACCTCTAAGATGGCCTCTAAAAGGTGCAAAGGTGGATTAAAAAAACCCCATTTAGTTCTCTTATTTTTTGGATTGGACCTATATACTATCCCCGCTATATGTCATTTAGTTATTTCACTTTTAGAATTGGCTACTCTCCGGCTACTCTCTCCGTGCTATGTTATAAGTTATTCGTGAAAGATTACTATGGTTTTTAATATATATATATATTAAACGGTCATATTAAATTAAATAAAAAATTAAAAAAATATGTATCTTTTCCCAAAAAAGTAGAAAATATATATTACAAAACATAGTGGGGAACGATAGAATTAATCCTTGTCGTAAAAGCTTCATTGTGGTTAATATTTTAATAGTTGTTTAGGAAGCTGAAAAAGAAGTAATTATTTTCTTATAATATAATTGAGATGTAACCAATCTCACCAAACTAAATTACCAACGAAACAAACTAAAACAGTGATATAGATCAGATCTTACCTTTTGGTTCTATATTCCCATGCACGGCTGCACACGTGACAACTATACTCTAGTATTTAATCGGTTTAAAGAATTGTTTCAATTGAATTTGATTCTCTAACACGAACACTTCTAAAAAAAGATGTGTCAATAATGTCTGAAATTGACATAATATTTATGATTATATTTAATTAATTAATTTTTTAAAATTATTATCGATGCCGATGTATTGGCGTCGTGTCTTAGCATTATTATGCAAATTATTAACAAATTATCTAGTTAATGGTAATATAAAAAGGAAAACAATATCTGGCTATGAAGTGACATATTGAATAGAATTTTCTTACTTAGGCAACAAGAACATTGGTTGAGAGAGTTACATCAGTTCCTATTAGATGCATTCCTGCATACACAACAGTGTATCAAACAAACAACAAACGATAGCTAACAGCTAAAACAATCATAGAAAATTAGCCACAGAATTTTGTTAATGACTTTGACTTAGACAAGAAGGAGATAAAACTAAATTGGATGTCTTTGACACCACTCTAAAGTTGTTCTAACTACTATTCTTGTTCAATGACAACAATGTTCAGTTCTGCTTCTATTTGAATCACAATATTTTTATCACCTAATCAAGCAACCAAATACTCTTCATTCTTCTATATATAGACCAGCATTTTTGTCACATTCCATCAACAAGTTCAAACTAAAACATAACATTTGCAAGTTAAAAAAAGCACCTTCACTCATTCAGAGAAAAAAATGGCTGTTTCCGTTTTTTCGTCACGTAAAATCCCTGTGTTCTTTTTGTCATTGATAATTTTTTGTATGTTTGAGCTTGCAGTAGCTGGCACTACCAGACACTACCATTTTGATGTAATTTCTTGAAACTATCATTACACTTTTCAATAGTACATAGTGTTCTTTTTGTAATAACATGAGGTTATTTATGCAGATAAGGTACCAAACTGTGACAAGATTGTGCCACAACAAGAGCATGGTGACAGTGAATGGTAAGTTTCCAGGACCTCGCATTGTGGCCAGGGAAGGAGACCGTCTTCTTATCACAGTTGTTAACAATGTGCAAAACAACATCTCTATTCACTGGTAAAGAACACTATTGCTAAAAAGAATAATTGTAGTGAAATTTTTAAACTTGGTAGCATAAAATTAATGTGTAAAAAGCTTTGCTATTTTTGAAATAGGCATGGCATTCGACAACTTCAATCAGGATGGGCTGATGGACCAGCATATGTGACCCAATGCCCCATCCAAACAGGTCAAAGCTATGTTTACAATTACACCATTAAAGGACAAAGAGGCACACTCTTTTGGCATGCACATATATCTTGGTTAAGATCAACTCTCTATGGTCCACTCATCATACTTCCCAAGAAAAATGTTCCATATCCTTTTGCAAAACCTCACAAGGAAGTTCCTATCATATTTGGTAAGGAAATTACTAACAAGATTAACCTCTAGCTGTATTCGTTTTTAAACTTGCATAGGCTAATTATACTCTTGGGTTCTGGTTTTAGGAGAATGGTTCAATGCAGATACTGAGGCCATCATATCACAAGCCCTGCAAACTGGGGGAGGACCAAATGTTTCTGAAGCCTACACAATTAATGGACTTCCAGGCCCATTGTATAACTGCTCTAAAAAAGGTATCAAGTGATAATAATAAAGAGATTAATTTTGATGCACATCAAAGTAAAACCTTTTAAATCATTATAAAACATTCTTCACAGATACTTTCAAGTTGAAGGTGAAGCTAGGAAAGACTTACCTTCTACGTTTCATCAACGCTGCACTAAATGATGAGTTATTCTTCAGCATTGCAAATCATACCCTCACAGTTGTTGAAGCAGATGCAGTTTATGTAAAACCGTTTAAGACTAACACAATCCTTATTGCACCTGGCCAAACCACTAATGTTCTTCTTAAAACCAAGTCTCACTATCCCAATGCAGCATTCTTAATGGCTGCTAGACCATATGCCACTGGCCTTGGAACTTTTGACAACACAACTGTTGCTGGTATCTTGGAATATGAATCCCCATCTAATAATCATCACGGCCCAGTTGTTTCACTGAAAAAGCTTCCATTACTCAAACCTACTCTTCCAGCACTTAATGACACTTCTTTTGCAACAAAGTTCTCCAACAAACTCCGTAGCCTTGCCAATGCCAAATTTCCCGCTAACGTTCCCCAGAAAGTAGATAAGCACTTTTTCTTCACAGTAGGCCTCGGTACCAATCCCTGCACGAGCAACCAAACTTGTCAGGGACCCAATGGAACAATGTTTGCCGCATCTGTGAACAATGTATCTTTCATACTCCCAACCACTGCACTTCTTCAATCCCATTTCTCTGGACAATCCAAGGGGGTCTACGCCCCTTATTTCCCAACAAGTCCCTTGCACCCATTCAATTATACAGGCACCCCACCAAACAACACCATGGTGAGCAACGGAACGAAGGTCGTGGTTCTTCCTTTCAACACAAGCGTGCAGCTTGTGATGCAGGACACTAGCATTCTTGGTGCTGAAAGTCACCCTCTCCATTTGCATGGATTTAACTTCTTTGTTGTTGGACAAGGATTTGGTAACTACGATCCAAGTAAGGACCCATCAAACTTCAATCTTGTTGATCCTGTTGAAAGAAATACAGTTGGTGTACCATCTGGTGGATGGGTTGCAATCAGATTCCTAGCAGATAATCCAGGTTAGTTCATACTATCAAAAGTTATTTTGGTTCAAAATTATAAATTAACAAAAAGAAAGCACGCATATATATACGTTTAATCGTTGTGTAGGAGTATGGTTCATGCATTGTCACTTGGAAGTGCATACAAGCTGGGGTCTTAGGATGGCATGGGTTGTTTTGGATGGAAAGCTCCCAAACCAGAAACTACTTCCACCACCAACTGATCTTCCCAAGTGTTAACTTCAACCTAAAAACTGCTTTATTTTGATTGACTATTTTGGCCCTTTTTGTTATTCAACACTGGGCAGAGTGGTTTCAATTTGTTTTCTGCAATGGTTTTTGAGGCTTAACATGGGTTGAGGTTGTGCCTTTATACTTCTTTTGATGAGATATTTATTTATACAATATGCCTTGACTATACAATTGTACTTGATACATTTGAGTGAAAATTTCTTATTCAAAGTTTATTATTATAACAACTTGTTACTTATATTCACAATTGAAGAAAAAACTAACAATGCATTGAATTAAAATGAAAGTATGAAAACGAATTTGCTACAATCATGATGTTTGAATTGATCAAAAAATGAAAAGCATAACTCCTTTAATGGTAAAAACCTATGGAGCACAGTCACCGAAACACGACACTGATACTGATATGACACTGCTTCTTCTGATACCGAGACGTCTATAAAATAAATGTGATTACAAGTGTTGGTGTCGGTTTCGGACAGCGACACCGGACACAAACACACCTTTTTAGATTTTCAAAGGTGTCTGTGTTACAAATATAAAAACCTAAAATCCCCCATTAAAAAGAGATACCTAAAACAAATTATGCAAGTTGTTGTTGATGGATAGTAAGGTACCTAAAATCATATGATTCTCCATCTTTTTGTTCTATATGCTTCTTTCGACACCTGAAACAAATGATCAAATTAAATATTCTGTGTAATTACCTAAATGAAGCTTAATTTTGCCTGTTTCAACGTCAGGGAAAACAAACCTACGGTTTTCTCTATTTTTACCCCATTTATCACAAAATATGTCTAAATAAGAGACTCACCAAACTAACGATACCATTTCCCCAAGCTTTGTTTGTACCCATACAAAGGTTTCTTCAAAAGATACACTTTACACCTTTTATATACAAAATCTTTTGGTTTTATGCATGTAGATTTTTTCTTCTAGGTCCAATGTAAGAAAGTGACCTTGATGTCCATTTTTCCAACTCAAGATTGTGCTGACTAAAAATCACAATAACTACCCTTGGTTCTTCAAATCTTGGAATACTTTTCTTTTTCTTGAATATCCACATGCATCCAACCATACTTTGTTTTTTAGTGTATTGATCGAAAAGCACAAGTGTGCTACTAGCAAGAGCATGTGTACTCTGAGGCTTTAATAGGTCTATAATAATTTGTGGTCGTTAGGATTTGCTCACGACGACGAGAAGCCATGTGTTATGCGTCTTAGGTATAAATGTATGAATTATGTGTTATGCGTAAGTTAGGATCTCTATATTTCTCCCTTTAGAGGGGAGGTATATATAAAGGCCTTTTGGACCTAGGGTTTAAGAAACCCTTAGAGGAATTAGACATTTCCCCATGACTAGAAGAGACTATTGACTACCTATTTTCCAGGAAGTCGTGGTATGACTCATTCTCATATAACTAGTGGGAGATAACAATATTATACACGTCATCTACCTCAAGGTGAGCACCCACATTCTGTGAGGATGTCGCATGAGCGATATCATACTATGCAGGGACCCTGGAGTCGCCCATGTTTGAGATTCTCATAAATATAACACTACACAGTCCCTCAAGTACAAGAGCTTTGTAAAATGGCACAATGTTTTTAAGACTTCTTTCATTTGGGAGGTGAGTCCCTCAACTGAAGGTGCCCCCTTTTTAATGTGAGGCGTGTCCCTCATCCTAGGACGAGTATTCATCACTAGCCAAGTGTTTCCTAAATCGCTATGCGATGGTGGGATATATCAAATTTCATTTTGATTGGACTCTGAGACGCCAAACGTCAATAATCCCGAATGCTTAAGTGCTTTAGGGGGAAAAATGTTAGTAGCATTTAATGTAACTCATGATGGCATTCTTGAAAAATCCAAGCTAGCCTCTTTTAGTTACGCGTCGTCTAAGTGTAAGGACTTTTTCACTTCTTGTGGAAACTATACCATTGGGTGGATATATGGCCTGCACTATTGCTTTTCGGTAAGAAACTTATATATTGTCTCGAAAAAACCCTTTTTTTATCTTTTTTTCTACTTTCACATGTCCATAAAAATATACCGGATTAGGATAATAGTAGGGAAGGTGAGAAATTCACTCCTCTTCTTAGGGTAGAAAGGTTGTAATTTCTGCTTTTTCATCCAAGATAAAAACGAGTAAGAAAACTAAAATCATTCACGTTCGAAATATTGTGTCCTTGTACTCCAATATTTACATGATTAGCAGGTTTCATAGTGGCATTAGGTTTTCTAGCACAAAATCCGAGAAAGATGTGACATTGGAGCATTGTTCAGGGAAGGAGAGATCTAACATGGATACCTTTAGCAAACGCTATGCCCTTTATTTTTACCTTCACCTAGATGTTATTCATGAGCTAAGGGTTTTAGCTCCATTTACTTATTTTGAGATAGATTTCCAAACGACAGTCAATGTCGCCCCTTCTCAGATTACTCCCAACATATGGAGTATGTTTAGGGTTTTTCAGATAGACTGTTGTAGCATGGGTGTGCTCCCCGTTGTAAGGGTGTTCCTTTCCTTATTTAATAAATAAGTTTATCTCAATAATGGTTGTGTAACCTTGTGCCTTTTTCCAGGTAGATGTTTGTTGAATCCTTTCGCAAACCCTTACGAATATTTGAAGGACATGTTTGTGCGAGTGAGAGGGAAAGGAGGTGTCTCTCAAATCACCATATGGCGAGGGGCAATCCTCTTTTTTATTTATCATGGGTGTCAGATCCTTGGATTATCAATGGGTATATCTTGCGTTCTTTCTCCCATTGATCAAGAAGTGATAAAAAATTTGAAATGTTTTCAAGGAAGATAGAGGTAGATCCAAAAGGCCAAGAGTTTATCGATCTGTAATTTCAAGGTAAGGGGGGAACTATTCAAATATGGGTGTTTAGGCAGTCGGATAGTGAGGGATCCTTATTCTCATATCTACTTCTTCTTTTTGTGTTTGTGTTGTATGTTTTTGGCCAAAGGGTTTGCCTTAAACCCTTTTGAATTGATTCTTGAGTACTATTTTATTGTTATTACTTGAATCCTTGTTGATGTGATGTTGTTGTATGATGATATGTGCTTGTGACATGTGGCAAAATTATAATAATAATTGGATTATGGTATATAATTGTCTATGAATGTGGATTTGTGTTTTTAGGGAGAAATAATAAAAAGCCAGAAAATCCCATATGGCATTTTATTTCCAAAAAATAGAAAATAAAAAATTAACTTGAGAATCATGGGGGGTGCTGCGACGGTGGACCCGCACCTAGCCGACGACGGTGGAAGGTCGCGCCTCATTGGAAGCGGTGGGCGATGTAGCAGTGTGAGGCTGCGGTCAACAATGTTGGGGCGCATGACTCAGCGCGCGATGGTGCGGTGGTCAGCACCTGAATACGCACGCGACACAAGCCACAATGTGGGCGCATGTTAGCGCTAGTAATGGGACGCAATGGGGGAGGCACACGGGAAGGACTGACTATCGACAGTTTGGGCAGTGGTTGCGGCAGCCGGTGGGCGATGGTTCAACGTTTCGGGTTTGCTATCTAGTTTAGAAAATTTTGAGTAATTTCGAGTTCAGTGACCTTTCGTTATCTTTTGGATAAGTTTAAGAGTCAGATTTGTTATGTTAAGAGTTGTTAGAGTTATTATAGAGTTGTCAGAGTTGTTTTGAGTTATTTAGAGTTCTCCCATGAACTCTGATATGTTTTGAGTTGACTCCATTAATCTTGTAAAAATTGTGGAATTATTATTATTACCCTGTTTGTGGGATTACATAAGTAATAATGTGTTTACTCTGTTGGTGAGTATTATTTAGCTTATATGTTAATAATTTTGTTATATTGATGAATATTTTTGAAGATTATATGATTATATGATTGAGCTATAATTTATAATATGTCAAGTTTAGTAGTTCATAGAGGAACTACAGTGCTGGCCTTACATTGGCAAAATTGTGGATTCAAAGAGGAACCTTGTTGAGTATGAAATGTGAATGTTATTTGTTGTTGAATATGAGATGTGAATGTTATTTGTGGTTGAATATGAGTTGTGCATGTTAATGATGTGATTATGTATTTATGTATATCGAAGATAGGTAGGATTTCAGTCCAACGAGGTCACGGTTCAGAGAGGAACCAATGATGGTCTCAGATTCATTGAGGAACCAGAGATATGGATAATTTGGTAACATAACTCAAACATCCAAAAACTTGGTACCACATGCATTTGAAAAATAATTACATAGCATTTCATATTTTCATTGTAATTGTTTTTTGGTGTGAATTAATATGTGTGATTCATGTTGATGTTATTGGAAACTATCCTTGTTGTTTTATACAATGATAACATGTGTGAATTATTCTCACCCTCTTTTATTTTGTTGTGTTGCTCATTGTGATGATGATGCATATACTCAAGTAGAGGAGCACTAGATGCTGCTGTCATACCCCAAATTTTCCATACTAGTTCCTGATAGTTTTTTTTTTCATTTCTAAAAAATTATCTTTTATGAAATATTATTCATATAGTTATGAGGTTTTAAAGTTATAAAGGAGGGTTTTATCTTATAAAGAAATCATGAGCCTTTCTCGATCAGAAAGGGCCCATGTAACTTTTTAGTCCATTTCAAAATATTGGAAAAAGGGTGTATAAAACAATGTATTTAGTTTAAGGCCATAAAGCATTTTTTTGTTAAAGCCAAAATAGTGGTCAAACATTAAGGCACGTTTCATTTTTTTACTGTTTTGAAAATATTTGTTTTATTTTTAATCAGTATTATAAATTATATGACTTAATTGTTGTTTTGTCAACTAGAAGCAAAAAAGTTAAAATTTTGTTACGCAGCCCAATCAAGGAAGCAGGCCCAGTTCCAATCCGGATTAACAAAAAAAGTTTTTACAAATAAAAAGTACACAGGCCCATTTCGATTAAAACATTTTTGTTTCAGATAACAAAAACGTACGCCCCAAAGAGATCAAAAGAGACGCGTACGAT